TGCCTCACCCTGTCTCTGCCGGACTCGTCCTCGGTCCGTTCCGATTGCTGACTGCCTCGGTGTCCCTGCTCGTTTCGGTATCTGCCTTACGTGTTGCATCCCGCACCTTGGTTTAATGAAATACATTGGACAAGAGGCATCCCTTTAGCGAACAGTACGTTTCAAATGGACGTTGTTGACTTTGTTTATACATTACAGACTCTTCAATATACTCTGTATATAATTTACAATGCAAAATGTCTCATAATCTCTTGATTTTATAAAGTCTTCATAAACTAAAATACGTTATTCCACACAACTTCTAAGTTCATAAATTATTTGTTCTTAGACATACCTTCGGTTATTGTTCCGTCTTTGCGCTGGTTCGTATCCTTTGAGCCTTCTATCCCATAATACCTGTTTCACAGAATTTATGGTCTTAACAATAGTAATACAGACGTTGTGTAGTGATACAATCTAATTGACGTAACCTTCCAAATCTCTGCATTGAGAAATCAATAGTATTCACTACACGTTCTATTGCAACAGCAGACAGCCACACTGATTTGCAACGTGACCAGGTACCACTTAATACCAACAGAGTGCACCACCATACAACATGAAAACGACAGCGCATGGAACTAGGAGAACGGACGATATTCGGCGACTTTACTTATAGACTGTATGAAAACAATAAAATATATTATACGGTTAATAATACGAATATCAAATACATTACACCAAATGCCTATCGAAATATAATTAAGAGTTGATTAATGCATTTCTACTTTATATTCTAAAGGTACATGAACGTGCAAAACGATTTCAGATACTGTTTTCTTTTAAAATTAATATCCTCATGCAATAACCTGCATGTATTCGTCACAAAACTACATATTTGTTATGTTACTCTAAATTATAAAATAATTCTGAAAGCCTAAGCCAGGATTATCTGTCAATAACAAATATACATTTGATACACACTCATTCCCACACAAAGAAGACTGTGTCAACATCTCTTCAGAAGTGACGAGCGTGGAAAACGATTTCAATCACACACACACACACACACACCGATTACTAGCCGCCACTGCACGAGTCATTTTATCTGAACCAGTAGGCTTTATAAAGATATACATATTATGGACAGGCCTACTACATCTTTTATTCAAGATGTATCTTCTCTTAGGTTAAAAAATGAAACAGATTATATTTAGATCCAAAAGTAGACCTTAGCACAGAGTTTAATCAAAATGATCACTCATCCAGGTAATGTGTACTTAAAGCAGAATGTAATGTAGGATTGTAATACCGAATCTCTTCGAAATCTGTCATGTATTTTCGGCGCTCTTACATGAAAATGAACACATGAGGAGCTGGTAACACACTTCATCTTATTAACCCTTTGAACATATTTGTTTTGTGTGTTTCTCACGATTCTCACTGTAAACAGCGATTATTTCCTTAAACAGCGTCAACCATTTGAACTTTGTAACGGTGAAGAGCTGTGTTTTCTTTGCGGTACGGTCTGAATTCTTAAATATTATTTAAACTACACGTCGACACAAGTTTTCTTAGTTTTCCTCTGTCTTCAAGCAAATGTCGAGATGGTTTCCAAGTTGCCACTGCAAGCTTCTCATGCAGCCCTCCCAATTTAAATTAATCAAAATTTAAGCCATTACAGTGGCGGCCGGTAAATTACTTACTTAACTTTCCAAATTATAGCTTAAAAATTCATTAAGAAACAAATCAAAATTCCACCGTCCCTGTCAGGAAGCTGTCACTACTTATCACACTAACGTCTTCATGAAGATTCTATCCTGACCAGTCAGACGAGTGGGCATTGCCTGGGAACCGACGTTTCGGAGGTCATACTGCCTCCATCATCAGGGGATAAAATAACCACTACATTTAAAAATCTCCTAAGATTATCAAAATAAATGCGATTTCCTTAAAATCACTCAACGTGAAGTACTGCTGTCTTTTTTATTTCGGGTGGGGGGTTGAACTATATCAAACGTTATTCAGACGAGTATCGGCTTATAAACGTTATAACCTCAAACAGGCGCTTGCCTTTTGAAAGAATGTTTAATAATGACAAATGCAACAAGGATTAGTAAAATCTCCATCTGCCGCCATCCGCTAACATACGTGATGACACAGATGTACCGTTAAGCAATATAATCATGTTCGATACAGCGCCACTTCAAATGTTAAAAAAAACATGTCGATGGAAAAATGAGTTGTAATGGCACTCCTGCTTCGTATTCAAAACCTTTCTTGTGCAAATCCCGGCCCAGACTATACTAACCTCGAGTTATCGGAATTTTTCTCAGTCACCTCAGTCCAATGCTAGTCAGAGGCCTTAAATTGTTCCACGGCCGCTTCCTTCCACGTCGTTTTCAGTTCCGTAATCATTAAGTTCTATAATCTGAGCTACTGACAGCGTCACTCAACAAACGTTTTAAAAAAGAGTATCGGTAGAGTCAATGAAATTGCATGGAATGTTTGATTCGAGCACTCGAAGTGCTTCTGAATTTCTAATGGCGTATTCTAAGGCAAACTGAAAATCAAAGTCGACAGAGTAGTTTCTTGTTCAAACTGTTCTGAACAGAAAATCAATTAGACTCCATCACATTTAAAAATGCCTTTTCAACCAATTCTTATTTTTTCTCAAAACATTATAAATTTCAGTGCTTAATTAAGCACACAGAACAATTTATTTTTCTCAGAAATATCCGTTATATTTCCTTTATGAACTGCTAGTCAGAGATCGGGTCCGGGGAACCTGTTTCTAGAAACGTACGCCTTAAACCTGTCCTACACATTTGCTTCGTTCCTTCAATTTTCTCAGGTTTTCAAACATAACAGGAAACCACGCGGTTGAACACTCGTACAAAAAGGATTTTTGATGGTGATTTGGAAATCAGACAGTCACTGAACACACTAGAAAGTAATATTTTGAAATTGTTTATTTCTTCCCTGATTTCATCATGAATCTAGCACCAAATGACACACAGGATCTTAAAAATTAATTGATTTCATATACTTATTGTATAAAACATTACTGATTATGGTTTCGGGTCACGTTCACATTCGTATTTCCTTTTGAGCCTGAAAAAGAATTTGATTTGTTCCTCTTGGTACGCACATTTTTTCCCAACAGATATAATCAGGTAAACATATCGTCACTTTCCTGGACAGTTTATGTCAGAGTTGGGCGGCCCCCATAAAAAGTGCCCGAACCGCCCGCCATCTGCTTAGTTGGGACAGCCCAAAACGTGGCTGATTTTTAGTTGGCTCAGCGCCGTCCCAAAATTAAAAACTTCAACAAAGTCATCTACAAAGCTTTTTTAAATTTTGCGTATATCTGTAGTACTTTAAAAGGCCTTAAGGAATCTGACGATGGTTTATCCAGTCCCGTTCGGTTACCGATACCGAGACGATCGCGCTCTCGGATACGGATTCAGATAGCTCACTTCAATAAAAAGGACTGTAAATACTGACGAAGAGAAACGCAGGAATTACTAGCAAATTTTCTGCATTGCTGCACCAACTACAAAATTCTGACGGGCTCCCACAAATAACTTTGTAGTTCACAGTAACAGGTTCTGATTGTCATTGTTTTTACAAAACTAGGAAATCGTTTCGGACCACAGCGATCTTTGATTAAAGAGGAAATTAAAACCTTTATAACTACTTCACGAAAAGATTTGTGATATTACTGAAACAATACGATGTTATCGGGTCAGAATATAATTTTCCGAACGACTACAACTGGCCCACTGATCGATCGTGAGACGAACATTTATGCATCGACTTATTTTGGATGCGACGGTACAACGAACAGTGCCAGTTCCCGCACATTTTAAATTAATCTCGACGCCTTTACCCGATCTCTCTTTTTTTATTCTCTCGTCGATGTGACAGTTTGCGCGTGATACGGCACGCCACTGAATGACTGAAATTTGAGCTGAAGCCCAGCAAGCAGCCCCGACACACGGACACATATTCACAAATTATACAAATATCACAAGCGACTTAATTCACTGCAAAATCAGCCGCATCTGCTGCTGCGTCACGATAAATCGCAAATAAAACATTGATACGACTCTCGGAGGGGTGGTGCGATATAAAATAATATTTTACTAGCGACATTATCCCTTTTGTATTAAATATCAATGAATATAATTCTTCATCATTAGAAAACGCCGCTGCAATACACGCGATAAATCATCAAACCTCTACGTGGAACCAACAGCTACGTTTTGAAGTCGAACGTTAACCTAACCTAACCTCACAATTCTACTAAAGTAGGGCAAGAATCTGTGCACTCAGAACTACTTTCTTCTACTACCTTGGCTTAGAAACATAGCACCACGTCGTCCACGCGCAAATCGTGCGCCGTTTAATTCGGTCCAATATTGTCCCAATTGGAAAGAGCTTTGAAGTCTACGTTCTCAAACCTCCACTTCTGGGTGAGGGATGACGTATCACAGCTTCCAACATAAAGCATCTGTCTTCCCGGGTCAGAATCGAGGCATCTTGGGTTACCTCCGTGGACGAGCCACTGCTGTTCCTAAAAAAGGAAAATGTCTTCACTAGTCGTAACTCACGAGCTGAACCCAGAACTCGGGCTCAGTTCAGTCTTAAATTTGGAGCTCTCTTTCCGCTCTCACGTCTTAATAATTTATTACGATAAACCACATTCTGGTCAACATTACTATTTTCATATTCATTTACGTCTTTACTGGCAATGTGACACGGTCAACTCACTGTGATCTGCCTTGGCCTTCATCCTGTTCAATGAACCACAAAAATGCACAAAGAAATGAACTCGTACCATCAGCCACGTTTCATCTCGACAGCCAGGTGTTGCCAAATCACTACAAGAAGCTCGGACTGTGGAAAGTCTGCGCATTTAAATGCTACGAATCAAGGGGTTAACTAAAATAGCCATCTCACACCATTGGCCGAACCACCGTGTCATAAGAAATCTGAGGGACAGTAAGGTTTGATGAGTCGGCAGGACGGACGCGATTTTCCAAGAGGCAGACGACGGCCGGATTACACGATTCTGTAAGCGGCTATACGTTTGAAATCCCTGTGGAAAAGCAAATGATGTTCCACTGAAGGAGGTCCATAATAGGTGATC